AACAAACTTTATTCAATTTTGTGTTGTCTATTTGGCACCACAGCTTTGGAATAAATTTTTTTTGCCGAATTTTGACTTTGAGCTATCTTTTGTCTTTTTAAAAGTAAATTAAAAACCCTAGCTTTTTCATTAGATGACATATTATGTCATTAGTAATAATATAAATTAATATCTTTGCATTTTTTTATTTACATTTATATAAAGTTTATTCTTTCTTATTTTGTTGATTTTTATACTTTTTACTTAACATTTTATTATATTTTGGTACGTATACGTTTATATAAAATATTGGTGAGTAGATCCGAGGGATTATATGATATTTACTTTGAAAATTTGTAAAAGTTTAGAAGACGCCTTTTTAGCAATGTATGAAGTTATTAGTTTTTAAGGAAAAGCTTACTTAGAATGTATAGATAATTTTTTAAACCTTTCTGTGGTTGACGATGGAGTATCTATTATGAAAAAAAATGTTTCACATATAATATTACCAATGGTAATACTATATGTGAAACATCCTTTAATTTTATAAGAATAAACTGATTTATGTTACCGTAAAACGAGTTGACTTTGGCCCATTTTGCATATAAACGTCTATTGCATGAAAGCCACAAAAGTTATTTCCTCAAACACCAAGTATTTTTAAAAGTGCATAGAAAGGATAGTTAAAACTATCTGTCTCTCATTTGAAAATTAGTCACCCTAAATATCTTTTAGGGGGTTTTATAGATGGGCAAAAGTCGTTTAATGTGTTGGGGTGACTTTAGCCCATCAAAGTAAAAAAAGACTATAGGAAGCATTCCATCAATAAAAACCACAATGTTTAGGCAAAAAAAATAAACTAAAAAATAATAAAGTGACAAAAAAATATTTGCAATAAAATTGCATACGGTAAATAAAGTATAGTTACAAACTAAACAAGTATAGGTACTAAGTAAATAAAACAGTTAAGGTATAACGTTTAGGTGTAAAGTAAAACAAAATTACAAAAATAAAGTTCTGGGACTAAATAAATACTCTATTTTAAACTTTTCTTTGCTTTCTCCATAAAATCGATTATTATTAACTGGGGGAAAAAATGTTGCTCTTCTGGTAGTGACCATTTCCCGTTAGTTTCATAAAGGTAATTTCTGCTCAATTTTTTCCTATTTTTTTGAACTCCATAAAAAAAAATTATTTAATCGTTACTATAAAATTATTTAGTTGTTAATACATTAAATAATAATAGTTATCAAATTAATTAATTACTATTCATAAAGTTTACTTTTTGTTTTGCTATATGTATATAAATAGTTCAAAATAAATAAACAAACCTGTCAAGGATTTAACTCTTCGTTGCATTTAACGATTCTTTACAAGATTTGGTAATAATTTTTTCTTTTTATTAATATTTTTTTAATTTTTTTATTTTTATTTTTTTAAATAACTTCACTTCTAACAAGGTTGCAAGCAACCACTCCTAGAATTGGAAGTTACTAGAAGAGAAAAGATGAAGATTATAAAGCAAGATAACGGTTAACAGACAACTTAAAAGATTGCAAGTTATATGAATCAGGAAAACAAGTTGAAGGGAGCGAATTCCAAAGAATAGATGTTCGAGGAAAAAAACTAGACGAATAAGAGTTTTTGGAGCTTTTAGGAAAAGTAACAGAAAAAGGATGAGACTTAATTGAATGACGAGTAACACGAGAATAAATTTTAGTAGATGGCACGAGATATGCTAGCTCCTTAGAGCAGCGCTCATTATAGTATTTATAAAAAAGAGAAAGAGGAGCTGTAGCAGGATTACGACGATGTGACACAATGGTTGAAGGTTGGCTGTAAGAGCAGGTCCAAAAATGTTTACAATGCGTTTTTGCACCTTATCTAAAAGAGAAAGGGCATCATTTGAAGATCCGCTCCAGATATAGCAACAATATTCCATACAAGGTCGGATTTGAATTTTATAGAGATAAAGAATAAAAACCGGAGTAAAAAAATGACGAGCACGATAGAGAGAGGCAATTTTAGCAGATGCTAATTTTGCAATCGATTTGATGTATAGTTTCTAAGAGAGATTGAAAGTAAGAGTTAATCCTAGAAGATGAAGGGTAGATGACTCATCGAGCGCATTACCATTCATAAATATAGGACAAACTAGACTGTTGCGATAACGATTGGCTGCAGACTGTTGCGATAATGATTGGTTGAGAAAAATTGGGTTTTATCTGAATTGAAGTTCACCAGCCACCGAGAGCCCCATGCTGTAGCAGAAGTTAGATCCTTTTCAAGCTCAAATGCTCGCTCCAAGTGATCAAAGAGTGTTGGCTTCTTATCAAGACAAGAACAAATAGTAGTAACATCAGCGAATAATGCCACCTTAGATGTGAGAATTTCTGGGAGATCGTTAATATAAATTAAAAAAAGAATAGGGCCAGGGATAGAACCTTGAGGAAAACCTGAAGTTAACGAAACGAAAAAGAGTGCTGTCCATCAAGGACAACTTTAATACTACAATTGGTACGAAAAGATTCAATAACCTTAAAGATGTTACCTGATACACCAAAGGAAGGTAGCTTATGGAGAAGACCAGCATGCCTAACTTTATCAAAAGCTTTAGAAATGTCGAGAGCAATAGCCTTAATCTCTCCACATTTATTTAATGTACGATAAAACCTATCAGATATTACCGTTAACAAATCAGCAGTAGAACGAGATGATCGGAATCCATATTGATGGTCAGAAAGTAGATTATTAGATTCAAGATGAGAGATTAAGTGTCTATTGATTAAAGACTCAAAAACCTTGCGTATTATAGGTAGAAGACTTATGGGACGGTAGCTAGACGAGTCAGATCGCTGTCCAGAATTTTTGAAAATAGGGATAACATAAACTTCTTTCCAGCAGGCTGGAAAACAAGTCTCTGATAAGCACTTGTTAAATAGTTTTGAAAGAACAGACGGCAGCTTGGGAGAACACTTCTGCAAGACTATAACAGGTATGCTGTCCGGGGCGCAAGCTGTAGAAGAGTCTAAACAGGAAATCACTTTGGATACAGAAGCTGGAGTAATACGAATGTCAAGCAATGGATCAACCAGTTTTTCGGCAATATCAGGTAGAATGTGATTAGTGGAATCAAGAGATGAGATTGATGAAAAGTTCTTAGCAAACAATTCAACTTTGTCTTTTGGTGAAGTAACAAATTCTGAACCGTGTAAAAGTGGAGTAATTACAGATTTGTCCTTATTATTGACACTGTTAAAGATTCTCCAGAAGTCTCGAGAGCCTAATTTTTGAAATGAAATACGAGATTTCATTACCTGAGAATAGCGGGTTTAGGCATTAAACAAAACCTTTTTACAACGGTTTTTAACAATAGTGAACAGACGTCTGTTTTCTGGAGAAATGTTTTGGCGATAGATATGAAAGTAATTGTTGCGATTGAAGATTGCAGCAGCACAATGACAGGGAAAACCATGGAGAAGAGTGAGGCTTGACTTGGAATTGTTGAGATGGAATAAAAGATTCTATGCCAGCCTGAATCCAAGAGGTTACATAAGAAGCACATTTGTCAGCAGGAAGACAAAAAACTTTTACCCAAGGGCCATCACGCAGAAAATCACGGAAAGATTCCCAGTCAGCTTTAAGGTAGTTGTACAAAGTTCGATGATAGGCGGATTCTGATGATAAAGAAGAATGCGATAATAGTTTTAGAGATATCAAGCCATGGTCAGAAGCACCTATGGGTGAATGTGGAAAAACTGAGCACTGGCTAGGATCAGAAACAAGACATAAGTCAGGTAGAGAAGGTGAATGATTCGAATTGTCAGGAAAGCAAATTGGAAAGTTGATTATTTGTGTTAGAGATTGAGAAACACAATGGTTGTGGGCCATAACGCCTGCAGAGTCACTGACACTAGAACCAAGCCATTTGGTGTGATGAGCATTAAAGTCACCAACAACAACGATGTTGGCTGAAGGATAAAGAGAGAGGGCTTGGTCAATTTGATCAGAAATTATATCAAAAACAGTGCAGTCTTGTGATGAAGGAGAGCAATATAAGACAAAGAGAAAGGTGATAGAGTGAAGTGGTGCTAAACGAAAGCACATAAAAGAATAGTCTGAGGATTCGAACCTAGTTTCCTGAAAAATGGGTGAATTCTTACAAATGTAAATGCCAAGCATGTGACTATTGGAGTCTTTACGAATTAAAGGAAGATAACCATCAACACAAAGATCACAAGATGAGTCAGTTGAACTCAAATTAGTCTCACAAAGAGCAAGTAGGTCTGCTCAACTTTGCAGAAGATAAGACTAAACAGAAGAAAAGTTACTTCGAAGACCACGAATATTAGTGAATAATAGATTTAGAGACCTTGGTGATGTCTATGGTTTTTTGTGTTTACTAGTTTTTGATATTTTAGTCATTTATCAAATTGGTTAAGAAACTTGACTCAAAGCACAGATAGTACTCAGTACACTATTTAATAGTCCAAGCAAATGCCTTATTACTACTAATAAACCCTAAGCCGTAACAAAGGGCTCCAAATTTGGCCTCGACAATGCACACCAAAATGCAAACAAACAGGGACACCATCCATGCGCAACATGATGCTCTTAATACTCTGATATTTTACAGCTGTTGATGGAATCAGCTTCTCTCAGAGCTACCACAGAGTTCGGGAAACCTGACTACCAGCCGGCCTCAGAACCATAAAACTGAGTTTTAGAGCTGTACCCTCATTAGGAGATAATTGTATGAGTTGCCTAGTCTTAAAAACAGAATCACAAGCAAAACCCATGCAGTGTGTGGTTCATTCACAAACCATACTGTTTTAATATGTATACTAATATATTCTCGTATAATAATGTACAATAATGTAAAAACGTGCTCAAGAAGTTACAACGTTCGCGTATAAGCAGAGTAAGAGTTAGAGAGAGAGCGTGGGATTAACCGCTGACAATATAACACAATTAACAAGAAGTCGTTGCCGCGCTAGTGAGCGCGACATTCCCGCCCCCAATTAATTTATAACGAAATGTTTTATGTCCTTTTCATCGCAGAAATTGATCTTCATTGTTTCAATAGGGGCGTCTAATGCTTCTAATAAATACAGTTTATTTACAGGTCTTTGAATGTACATTGTTTTTCCATTCATAATGTATCTAACTTTGGCAGCACGGATGAGTCCGTCAGATGATTTACTAAGGCTCTGAACAATGCCTGTCTTCCAATTACCTTGTCTTGTGTCTGAGTCGTGAATCAGTACAACGTCGCCGACGGCTATTTTATTTGTCCCTCTATTTTTCTTACATTTGTGGAATTCTCTAAGTTCGGTTAGGTACTCTTTTTCCCATCTTTGCCAAAAATGATTTAATGTATCTTCTATGTATGTACTTCGGGTGTTCAAGTTTAATTCATAAGTTTTGTCGTTAATAGCTTTAAAGTTAGTTGATCTTCCATATATTAAATGATTGGGTGTAAGTGGTAAGTCTCCAGGTGATTCATACATAAACGTGATTGGTCGATTGTTCAATATTGATTCTACTTCAGCAAGAAATGTTAACAGTTCTTCGTATGAAAGCTGATCTTTATGTGTTATTTTGCGAAGGCAGCGTTTAGTGGATCCAACTAGTCGTTCAAAGAACCCTCCCCACCACGGAGCAGCGGGGATGTTGAAATGCCACGTGATACCGAGAGATGAAGTAAAGTTTTGAGTAAGATTGGAGGTGAATTGTGATCCGTTGTCTGAGAGAATTTCGGAAGGTGTGCCACGTTTCGCAAAAAATCTCCGTAAACTTCTTATGCATGATTCAGCAGAAGTGTCCGGAACAAGATCTAAAAATAAAGCACGTGTAGTAGCACATGTAAATAAAAATATCCAAACTTTATATAAATCATTTCCCTCATAAATATTTTTTAAGTTTTGGTATAGTTGCAGTTGCTTAAAATTTTTATCAGTAGTTATTGCTCTTTGAACGAATATAATCCATTGTAATACTATAGTAGAATCACACCAACAGACTATTTGTTTAAATTTAAGTACAAGGTATAAATCTCTTTTAACAGTTGACATAGTTTCAGCTAATAATAGGGCTGCCTTTAATTCAAGTCGGGGGATAGAGGTATTTTTAATTTGGGCAATCCTAGACTTAGCAGTTATAAGTGAACATATTTTGTGCTCATCATCAAAGGAACACAACAAGTATATACAACAACCAAATGCTATATTACTGGCATCACTAAATCCATGCAATGACAAGTCAACAACATGATTTGAATAATTATTATGGTACCACCTAGGAATGATAATGGGTTTAGAGGATTGAATGTCATTGATAATGGCTTGCCACACCAATAACATTTTTCCCTCAAGAGGCTTGTCCCAATTAAGTTTTTTGATACATGGTTTTTGAAAGAATACTTTACACTTGACTATACCAAGTATTTCAATATACCAAGTGGATCATAAATGCTTGCAATAAACTGAAGAACTTTACGTTTTGTTGGAATCGAGTCCTCATTGTGTATCAAATTTCTAAAATCAAAGATTAAGTTGTCTTCTTTTTTATTCCATAATAAGCCTAATACTTTAGTAAGATTAAAGGAGGTAAAATTTTGTTCATTAACTAGGTTTTCAAGTTGTTTGCAGTTCGATTCAAATTTTCTAAGAGTAAAGCCAGCTTCTTTTAATCGATCTTGACATTTTTGATAAAAATTAATGGCTGAGTCAATTGAGTCAGCTCCTGAGTTCAGATCATCAACATGTAAGGAATTCATTAATTTATTTACAAATATAGGATCATCAGAGAGATACTTTTCAGCGTGAGTAATGAGTGTAGCAGAAAGAAGAAAGGGAGAAGATGTAACGCCAAACAGAACTCTGCAAATTCTATATGGAATAATTTTTTGAGTAAATATGTTGTCTTTATTAAGTGCGTTAATGTTCTCGAACCACAAAAATCGGACGTAATCGCGATCTTCAGGAGATAATGTAATCTGCAAAAAGGCTTTTTCAATGTCTGCAACAAAGGCAATTTTTTGGGCACGAAGACGCAAGAGGATTCCATATAAAGATGTGGTTAAAGATGGTCCAGGGTAGAGACAGTCATTCAATGAAGGGCCATCAACAGAACTGCTTGCATCAAAGACAATTCTGACTTTAGAAGTAACTTTTTCATTTCTCAGAACTGGTTGGTGCGGTAGGTAGTGTACTTTTTCAAATTTGTCTTTATCAATAACTTGTTCAATAATGCTGTTCTGTAATTGTTCTTTAAAAATGTCATTGTATAATTTAAGTAAAGAATCATCTTTACTCAATTTCTTTTGAAGACCTTTAAAACGCTTGATACATAAATCGAAGTTATCACTAAGTGGAGGATGATCTTCTTTAAAGGGCAAGTTAACATTATAGCGTTTGAGGGTATTATCATATTTAATGGTGTGACGAAATCTATCAATGACCTCATAGTTACACTCATTCATCTCTCTAACACCCCATACAGATGTCATGGATTCTTTAATTAATGATTTGGGAGATGAATTTGATTCAACAAACATGACATGAGCTGTATTTACACAACAATTATAATTTTTATTCTTAAACATATTATTAACATTAATAGGACCACTTAATAAATAACCTAGCTTAGATTTAATGGCAATTGGATCAAAATAATTTCCCCTAATAATAGAATTTTCAATAAAGAGCCAGTAATAATCTGCCCCAATCAAAACATCAATCCCTAAGTTCCCGTTTTGAAAGTTACTATCTGCAAGTCTTAAATTATTTAAGTGTCTATACTTCTTTTTAGCAAGATTTATATATTGTCCATTGAGAGGTGCATAAATATCTTTTACATAACAGTTAATTTTTATAATTTTTCCAAATAAGCATTTAATTTTTAACTCAACTTTTTCTAGATTTTCTCTACTGCTTTTATTTCCTAATGTTTTAATGTTAATATTCTTTTTTCCTACACATTCAAGTTTTAATTTGCGACACAAATCAGGTGATATGTAGCTAAGCTGTGAACAGTTGTCAAAAAGTATTCTGCAATTATGTAATCTGTTATTTATGTCAAATACATCAGTGGAAGCAGTTTGGAGTAAAATGGACTGATTATTGTTACTTGAAATGGCTGTTAGTTCACCTTTTTGTAATTCACTATTCTGTTTTTCTAGACAAAGTGCTATATGATGCTGATTACCACATTTAAAACATTTGATATTAGATGTACAATTCTTTGATGTATGACCACTTCCTAAACATTTAAAACACAGATGTTTTTCACTAATTATTCGTTTTCTATTTTGAATGTCTGTTATGAATTTGCAGTATTGTGATTTATGTGATCTGTCACAAAAAAGGCATTTGATAAATTGTGGTATATTGGTTGGATTATTTCTATCAAAGTATGAATTTTCTTTAGCTTTCTTACTGTAATTAAATTGACGAGGGTTTCTGTTAAAATTTGATTTTTCATAGTTGTTACTTGTAAAAAATGTTTCAGTTGTATAAGTTTTATCAACACTGTTATTTAAATTTAATGAGACTTGTTCTCTTGCACGTAATTCTGATTTTAAAATGTTAATGATGGTTAAGACATCCCATGAACTGTTTTTATCAAGTTGTCTGTTTATAATTAAGTTCAGTTCTTCAGGTATTTTCTGTATTATTATTGGAACAAGTAATGGTCCATACATTTCACTTGTAATTTTAAGAGTTTCGAGGCTCCTTATTTGTATGTCTATATTATCTAATAAATGTCTTAATTTTTCAATTTTATTTAAACTATGCACTCTTTCAAATGACAGTAGTTTTCTCATGTGGGATGATATCATATTCTGCTTATTTTCATAACGCTCCTTAAGGATGTCTAAAGCTATTTTATAGTTTTCATTGGATAAACTGAGACCTGAAATAGATGACAAAGCTGAACCTTTTAGCAAGTTTGGAAGATAAGTCATTTTTTTGAATTCCTGACAGATCATTGTTCATATCTATAGCACATTCAAAATTTTCTATAAAAGATGTCCACTTTTCAGGTTCTCCGTCAAAATTATCTAATTTTAAAACTGGTAATTTTACTCTCTTGTTTTTAAAGTTACTAAATGTACTATTGCAGTCAGTTTTAATGTCGAATTTCTTCAACTCTTTATTAATTTTAGAAATTTCACTTTTGAATACTAGATTAAATTCTGTAGAAGATTCTAATTCATTTTCTAACTCGTCCTCATCCTCAATCAGTAAGGTTATCTCTTCATCCAATTGGATGACTTTATTGTATTTTTCGTTTAAAGTGTCTTTTAAGTCACTAAGGTTACTAAACTGGTTTTCATCGTCAGTGTTGTTAATAATTTCTAAAGATTTTTCGAATAATTTGTTTAAAAGTTTTATGTTAACTGTTCTAATTCTACGTTTGCCTTGAAGAGTTGACATTTTTTTTTGAAAAATAAAACTTACAGATACTTATTTGCAAAACGTTAACTGTCCCAAATCCTTCCTGATTGGGTAAATAATTACTAAAGTGACAAATATTATGTATTCTTACTTAAATCTTAATGGTTGTTAATATAATAACTTGATAAATGTTCGATACAATGATAAGCTCAAAATGTTCACTTAATACTCCTTAATACTTAATACAATAATCCTAAGTATTATAATTTATAATAACAAGTAAATAGTAAATAAATGTAAATAAAACTTAACTTTTTTCTTGTTCTTTAATCTTTTAATCTGTTTAAATCTTTTGAATCTTTGTATTCAAATGTCAATATTTATTTTCCGTGGGCTCCAAATTGTGTGGTTCATTCACAAACCATACTGTTTTAATATGTATACTAATATATTCTCGTATAATAATGTACAATAATGTAAAAACGTGCTCAAGAAGTTACAACGTTCGCGTATAAGCAGAGTAAGAGTTAGAGAGAGAGCGTGGGATTAACCGCTGACAATATAACACAATTAACAAGAAGTCGTTGCCGCGCTAGTGAGCGCGACATGCAGTGAGTCAAGAAGATCCAGCATTCAACATCCTAAACTGGAAGCAATTTTTGTAAATACATCTACGCCAGCCTAATAGATGAAGAAGGGGTGCAAAGCTGGTCAACAGATAGAATCTGTTTACCCCTTCGCACCCCTTTGTTTTTGCCTAGGAGGCCTTCTACAAGACAGTAGCTGGATGCATTTAACATCAACCCAAGATGAGTTATTTTATCGAGACACCGTCTCTAGCCTTTACTCAACCAAGAACCCCAAGGCAGAGGGTTTTTAAGTCAGAGTTGGCATCTTTTAGCCTTTGCCTAAAATAAGCAAATCCAACAAGGCAGCAGGATATGAAAAATTAGAGTGAATGTACGAAACAATAAATAAGAAGTAAATAGCTTTAAATTTTAATAATAACGGTAAAATAAAATAATACTAATGAATAAGATTATTAAGTTTATAAGAATATTAGGAACAAGCGATTACAACATGGAAATACTAACAATTATAATAAATAATATTAATAATGATAGTTTAAACAATAACGCAACAGCGAAACAATTAGTTTGGTATAGCAACAATAAAATATTGATTAAAGTTATAAAATTAAATCAAATGTGTAAAAAAACTAAATAAAAAAATTAAGAAATGTTTAATAAAAATTACTAAATTGATTTTACTAAATTGATCTTCTCTTTTAACTTTTTAATACCTGGAACTTTATTTAATTTAACTTTTTTTTTTGTTTTTTTTTTTGTTTTTTGTTTTCTTGTTAAATTAAAATCGATGTTCGAATTTTCTTTTGTTTATTTTTAAGTGTTTATTTTAAGTGGTTATTTTTGAAGTGTTTCTTTTTTATAAGATAGAGTGTTTCTTTTTTATAAGATTTTTTATTTTTATTTTTATTTTTCTTTGATATTTTTGAATTCTATATTAATACAATTAAAAAAAAAAGAAAAAAAGAAAAAAAAAAAAAAAGAAATAAAAAAATAATAACTTAACTTTGAATATCTTTCTTTGCCTTTTTTTCTTCGTTTCTTTTTAACGGTTAAAAAACACGACCGCCATCTGTGATGACCTTGCATTTTATCAATATCAAGCTTTTGAAATTTCTTTTTGCTTAATTCTGAATGATCTAAAGGTTTTGTACAACTTTTTACGCATAAACTTACATCTGGTAAGATTAGAAATCTTAGATGTTCTAGTATTGGTACTTGGGCCAGTTAAGCCACTGTTGTTGGTCTTAATTGTATTTATAATACTGCTAGGTGTATCTACATTATTCGTATTTAATCTATTATTTTTATTTTTAACACAAAAAGATATATCTGCTTTACCTGGGGCAGAACATACTTTATATTGCTTTGGTTTTTTAAAACCATCTGGGGGATCATTCGGTAATTTACTTAAATGATCTAAAAATGATTGGCTTCAAAATTTAATTATACTCTATCAGTATTTGAGTTTAAACCTATATGACGACATGGTAGTCGTGAAAGCACTTAAGACTTGTTTAATGGGAAAATTCCAGTTTTCTTTAAAATTCTTTAAAAAGAGAAGCAACTCTCCTTTCTTTTTCTTTTTCGTTCCATTCACATAATATTTTGAGTGAGTTAATCTTCATGGGTCTAAAATAGGCAACATCTAATGGCTGTGTGAGATGCGTAGAGTTTGCTGATAATACCACAAATGCTATGCCATTGCAATGAAAAGCATCCGATACCGCAATGCTCAGATGTGAAGATACGTATTTACCAATAATGACACTTCTTGTGCCATTATTGAGCCTTCATAAGTCTAAGAAGAAGTAAAGAGAAAAATCAGTCCTCAAAACATGTTGAAAACCAACCACTTTTTGATCTGTTTTAACGCGGTTTTGGTGGCCCATGTTTCATCCATGTATTCTATAACGATTCCGTTTTGTAAAAATCTGCTGACCACCCTATTTTTAAGGTTATTTTGTTTTTTAATGTTGACCTCGGTATATCGTATTTCAAAGCTGCTTGTCTTTGAGTAATTAAAGATTCTTTTAATATTTTAAAGCATTTTCTAACTGTTCTAAAGTATAAGTAAGATATTTTTCTCTTCTACGATTTGGCTTGTACTTTCGTGGTGTATTTAAACTAAGGGCAAAACAAATTTTGCTATATGTTTGTACCGATTTAGCAACTACAAACTCTTTATACTTTTCATTCCTACATAGCAACTACCATAATATTTACAAATGATCACTAAAAAAGGTTTTTTTTAATACAAAGGGTTAACTTTAGCTAGGGCCAATGTCACCTCATGTAGTGTACCAAAGACAACCCTTTCTTTTTAGCCTCAGTCGCAAAAAATTAATAAACTTATAAGTTTTCAAAACAAGATAGAATTAAATACTAATGGTTTAAAACTAATTCAGTGTTTATTCCAGTGAAAAACCTTCTCTAGTACTACTATTGATATAAAAGTTTACACACCTAAAAAAAAGTCGAATTATAGGAGCTTCTAAAGTCCAATTTACAAAAATATCACAAAGAGTTGAGTTAAGTAAACTAAGACAACTAAATAACATATAAATGCACCACAATTAGCCACAAAACATCAACCAGCATAATTTGCGGTACAATATTTAAACCACTTAAAACAAAAAATTTAGGTTAGGCCAAAGTCACCATTTTGGGTCAAAGTCAACTCTTGCACATCAAAAACCCCGTTTTACGGTAAGTATATTTACTATAATATACAATTTAAAAAGTTTCTTGAATTTTTCTGAAGAAAATACTTAAGAGAAAAAAAAAACTTAAATATATATATGTGTAGTTTTGTTGCAAGAAATTTTTAAACTTATGAAAAAAAATAATATGTTTCATATGTTTAAAAAGGTCTTTAATGCAGTATTTTAAAAGTTAAAAAGTTAACAAAACTGGAAAAACTTATAATGTTAAAATTTAAGTAACAAATTTTTGATATATAGATTTGGTGGTCAAAGTTAAGTTTTCTTGACTTGTTATAACTTTGTTATAACTTTGTCAATTCTTATAACTTTGTCAATTCTTATCAAAGTACCTAAAATTGGTATTAAAAGATAGAAGTATAGGTGGACTACAAATGTGAATGGTCTTCTGGTTGCCAGGCGTATCAAGAGGGTCGCAGGCGGCAATAAAGCACTATTTTTTTACCATTTAAAAATATGTAATTTTTGTAATAAAAAATTTTTTTTTAGCTTAACTCATAATTTTTATATACTAAAAGTGGTTTCTATTTTATTCCAGACCACCAGCATATACAATAAGTTTAAGTCAGGGTTTAGGGCGGGTGTGGTGGTAAGGATTTAACACACCTCGTATCAAAAATGTTTTACTCTTATAAACACTTTTATGCTGATTAAAGCAATATTAAACTAATATGAAAACTAATATTAAATTTTGCTATACTAAGTATATATTAGATTATGAAAAAAATATATATATTAAAAACTTTTTTAACACCATTTTTCAAAATAGCTATATTCCACTAATCAATAAACCAACGCGAATAACTAAGGAAAGTTCAACATCCCTAGATCAAATTATAACAAATGAATTTATAAATAAAAATATAAGAACAGGAATATTTAAAACTGACGTGTTTGATCACTTTCCGATTTTTATCCTATCGCAAAAATGCATATATAATGCCCAAAATGAACGGGAAAAAATAATTAAAACACGTTTAATAACCGACAATTCTATTAGTCATTTTTATAAGCTTCTATCCTGTGTTAACTGGGACACCCTAAAACTAAATCTAAACGCCAATAAAGCGTATGATATTTTCCTAACAGAGTTTCCTAATCTTTATAACAAGGCATTCCCAGAAGTTACTAAATGTAATCAAAACAAAAACACTTTTAAACCCTTGGATCACGAAGGGCATTCTTAAATCTTCAAAAAAAAAACAACGTTTTTCTAAAATATTACAGCGGGTTATGTATAATAGACTATATTCTTTTTTAAATGTTAATAATATTCTTTATCATAAACAGTTTGGATTTAAATCTGGTCATTCAACTGATCATGCAATCACTCACCTTGTTCATGATATATTTAAAGGGTTTGATGAAGACAAGTATACCCTAGGTGTATTTATCGATTTAAGTAAAGCTTTTGACACTGTCAGTCATCAAATCCTTCTATCCAAACTGAACAGTTATGGTATAATAAATACTAATTTGTCCTGGTTTGATAGTTACTTGACTAATAGAAAGCAGTTTATTTCATATGATAACGGAAAAACGGAATATAAGTCAATCACCTGTGGTGTTCCTCAAAGATCAATTTTAGGACCACTTTTATTTCTCGTTTATATTAATGACTTATATAAATTTTCTAACATTTTAAACTTAATTTTGTTTGCAGATGATACAAACTTGTTTTATTCTAGTAAAGATATCAGTAAACTATTTCAAACAGTAAACAAAGAAC